GGCCATGATCTTTTAAATTAAGTATTTTGCTCTGCTTTTATGTGACTTAATTCTCAAAAAATTCAGGTCTCAGTATCAGACCCTGCCTGGGAGATCATGACTCTTCTCTCAGCTCTGTTGCTTTCTGCTTGTACCACCTTAAGCAAGTCACTTTGACTTCCCATGCCTCATCTCTTCCTCTATAAAGTGAAGAAAAGGCTACCTGCTCACTACTTATCAGCATTAGGTCTTAGTTAATGATTTGAGTTGTGGAGCCCAAATGACAGAAAATAAAATCCAGCTTGCTGCTCAGTATTCTGTGGCTGTGCTCATTTTGCGAAGGGCAACAGCAATAAAAAGTAGGGAGGAAAATTGCCCTAAGCAGTGGAATGAGAAGATCTACTTAAGGAAGACAAAAACCAGGCCCTGCCAAGTAAGACGATGCCATTTTTGCATAGGCAGTCTTGCAGAGGAAAAGCCGCTATGGGAAGTCGCTGTGCTTCCTCCAGCACAAAGGTGAACTGAAGCAATCCACCAGGATTCACACGCACATTTTCATGAAGACAAGATATTTCACTCTTCAGGCTTTCTCATCACCCTGTTGCTGTAACTATATAGGAAACACATAAAACTATCTCTCCCATTTAAACCCTCACATTTTTGACAGAAAATTGGATGATATGACATGCTGCCTTCCAGAACAGGCGCTGTCTATCACCTTGCTGCTAATCTCTGTGATTAGTGACCTGTAATGTAAGTCAGCTATCAAAGACCACCTGTCCCTTTCGCTGTAAGCGTCTCCTAGCATATCACTTCGTGGTGTCACACTCTCTTGTCTGGTTTTTGATTGATGGAAGTTTGTCTTTTGAGCGGTGACTCAGAAAATAAATCATTCTCCTTGCCATTCATTGAGTGCGATTCTGCAGCACAAAGCCGGTGTGGTTAATCAAAGCTCCAAAGAGCAACAAAAAGCAACAGAAGCGAGAATGAGGAGGATAGATATAAAGGATAAAACATAATAAAAAGGATTATTTGGGAGCCAACCAAAGCAAAAGCAAAATAAAAAGAGCTGCAAAGAAGCATTGCGTTTACTGCACTACTGCATCAGAACTAGAAAGCTGATTTTTTGTTCTGCTTCTTAACACGTATACAAGGATGTGAGAAGGGTCCCACACTTCTGAAAAATATAAGTACATCAAGGACTCTGATTTTACAAGCTTTAGTGTGTGAGTAACCCTTTCTGGGTTCAGTGGGATTTTTTGGAGTTGAGTAAGTAAAGCCTGAAGGATACTTCTGCTGTGAATTTTACTCCTAACCACTTTGTGGTCCAGCTGGGACAGAGGGTTGACAAAAAAAAATAAGAATGGCTATTGCCATTAATTGGCCTGGAGGGAAAAAAGACAGTGAAGTTTGATACGTTATGAAGACAGCAGCATGATGAAAGAATCAAAGTGAGCCAGAAACACTGCATTATAGGACAAGAAAGTCCTTTCCAAATAGAAATGGTTCAGAGCAGAAGGCTTTTTTTATTTATGAAGGGCAAAGGAGTGAAGGGATGGAAAGGACAAAATTAGAAGCTTTGGGGGTTTTCGTATCAGGTCCAACAAGTTTATGAAAGCTTTTAAAATTATGAAGAGCAATCATGAGCTAGAGGCGGAAAGAAACTGTTGGTTGAGTATGTAACTGAGACGAGCTTTATTCTATGTATTTGCCATGTGTCAGAGAAGTCAGGAAAAATGTGAGGTGTTGATGGCACGGACGAAATTGTAGCAGAAGTGAAATCAAGACACAGGGAGTAGCAGATAAAAAATAATAATTTATTGCAGAAACACCGTGAGGCAAATTCCTTGTTGACACAACTCCATCAAAGACAAAGTATCTAAACCTTTTGGGAACTGGGCCATGAAAATGAGATTATAAGAACTGTGCGTCCATGGAGAGGTGCTGGAAACTTATTTAAGTCAGTTAAATGCAAAAGTTACTTATTTAAAACAAAAAAAATTAAACTAAAGAAACTTCATTATGTGTCTTGGCGGTGACCTTTCTGGTTTAAAAGTGTCTCCTTGAAAGCAGCAAGACAGAAAAAAAGGGCTGAGGAGAGTTAAATTTATAAAGACATGAATGAATCGGGAATTGAAGCACTTTTATAGAGGAATGTGTATGTGAATGGTGCAAATTTACGGGGCTATTTTTGATGAACTGTAGGAGGAATTTCAGTTTTTCAGCACCTTTCTTTACGAAAAGAAAAACCTTCATCTGGTGGGAATTCAGTCAATTTCCTGATGGTTTTTTGACCATTTCCTAAGTTGCAAGGTTGCTAATGGTAATTACAGACCCTGTTTGTACCTTGTGGCTCTAACTGTGCAGAAAGGTTTTCTTGGCATGTGTGCCTCTCTCACTGAAGAGTTTTTAAAGGGCTGGCCCTTGGTAGGAATCACATCAATACACATGAGCAGAGAGAATCCACCTTCCCTCATTTCTTTCTTACAGAATGTAGTAACTGCTTCTCACTCACATTTTGCTATCTCTGTCCCTCATGACAATAAATTACTATTTCAATGTTCAGTATTAACAGCTCTTAATACAGCACCATTATGAAGGAGCCTGTTTTAAGGTGTTTTATTAGAAGGTGTAACAAGCCTGCTCATTTTCAGGATTTCACAGGAACAGAGATGATATAAAGGAGACAAACCAATTCAATAATAATTGCAAGAGAAGTCACAATTTTTCAAGTAAAAAAAAAAGCTTTGTTTCTTGTTTTTTTTAAGGGAGGAAGACAGTGTGCTGAAAAGCAATCAGGTGCTCTATTCCTTTTACCTCTCCTCAGTGTGAAAATGTCAATATGTTTGATTAAATACAACAAAACAGCTACCGATGTCTGGTATATCTCTTACATGGTGTGACTATGTTAAACTGGTCCTTAGCATAACACCATTTCCTTCACTTGCTTCTACATTCACGCTTTAGTTTTTGAACCTCTCAGGCCCTTACTCTGCAAAATATCTAATGTTTGTAAATTTGGGCTGGTGAGTAATCCTGTTTGCATTCACAGTACTGAACTTACATAGTTCATGAATGTATTTAAGTCAGTGAGTTCGGTGGGTTTAAACACGTTTAAAATCAAAGTGGTGCTCAAATCTCTGCAGATGAGTTAAGTAAAGCTCAATTATAAGACACTGTCCCCTTCCTCCCAACCTTCCATTTGTGTTTAATAGTTTCTACGCGTTTTGCTGACAAATAGGAAGTGTGAACTTGGTCCACTGCCATCACTGGAATAGACCAGGAGAGAATCAAGTGGATTTTTCTTTTTTTAAAGTAGGGTCTTAATTTCCGGGAAAAGTGCCACAGATAACGTACAAGCCATCAGAATTGGGTTCTTTCATTACAAAGTTCATTTTGGAGGTGAAAGTGACAAAACCCAAAGAGCAGTCTTAACAAAGTCAGAACTGCAGAAATAGGAGTGGGACCCTCTTTTTCTTTGCCCAGCTGCAGGTGTATCTCATAGCCCTCCTGCAGTCTTTCTTCAACTTGAGAATATGCTTAGTTATGCTTGTGCCAGACAGCTTGGCAAGTCAGGAATTAATAATAAAATGTTATCTTCAAGCTTCTGCATTGGTATTATGGTTTGTAGGTTATCAGAACCTGTGCTAAGAGTCTTCCATCCTTCACAGGTTCATAGTTTTGAGAACCACAAATACTACATCACACCACATCTCTTTAAGCCAACCTCCATCCATCCTTGACGATTGCATCATAGCTGTGTTGTGCTGCAAGACAAATCCAGGGCACAGCATCTGAAGCAGGGCTGGGGTCTAAGAGTCATGGAGGAGGAAGATTTCATGAATATGTTCATGATTTCAAGAGACAAATGCCAACAGGATGTGGTTCAGTTCTTGCCAATACGTATTTGCTGTGTGAAAGACCAAGAACTGATAGGTGTTTTCTGATCTTTTCTGTTTTTAAGTACTGGAAGTAAACAACAATATCCTGGTGTGGCATTTAGCATTCGGTTTCTGTTCTTCAGTGGTCAGATAGACTCAGTTCCTGAGAAATTCAGCCTGTAATTACAGATTGCAATGTTTGGTTTGTGGGTTTTATCAGTATTTTTCCTCATAAACCAGTTTAGGTATTCAAAACCGTATTTTACAATCTTGCTGCAAGTCATTGACCTTTCTTTTCATGTTACTTCTGTTGCATTTAATAAGCTTAAAATGAAAAGAAAATTTATGAATTATTTTTACAAAAACACTTTAATCCATGTTTTGTTTCTAGTATCAATTTTCTCTGTGTGAAAGTACGTATGCTTGCATACTGGTGCATATATACATTGGTTTTCCCACAGACGTAAATCCCAGGCCATGCTGTTATGTGAAGCAGAGCACTATCATTTATTTACACTTTCTCAACTCCACTGAGTTCTAATATACTTCCAGCTGAGTAAGGATGAGTCCTCTGAATAGGAAGACATTTTCATCTGATTTCCATCCATATCACCCCATCATTCTTCTTTCCTCCTCTCCCTTCCCACCTGCCTTCTTACACTGTCTCTTGTGTTCATTCCCTCTAACCTCATGATCCATCAAAACACTTTGAGAACTACAGGAGAGCATTTTTCTGAAGTCCTCTGGCTGCACAAATAGATATTTCAGCATGGCTTGATTATTACCCAGAGATTAGGTGACTGATGTACCAAATACGTGCCTCCTGGAGGTGTCTGAATCACTTCCCATGGAAGGAAGACACAAAAAATCACAATTAGTTTAAAATCCCCAAGTGTGTGCCCAGTTCAGACAGGTGCAGGTTGCTGGCTGTATGTGTCCCACTAGCAGTGGCAATTATTAAATGACTCACACATAATTGAGACTTGCTTTCCATCGATAATTGTTTTAAGAGGGTTTTCCTGCAGTCCATTAAGTAACCTCGCTTTTGTTCATTGCAAGAATGTATAAAGAAGGCAAATTAACCTTCAAGTGCCCAACGGTGTGAATCTAGAGCCTATTCCTTTTATTCTGTCTTTCAGGTTATTCCAATCTGACCACCACACGGACGTCATTATTTTAATGTTGAATACTCAGACAAGGGTGCCATGGATGTAAAAGAAAGGAAACCGTATCGATCTCTGACTCGGCGCCGCGACACTGAGCGCCGCTACACCAGCTCTTCAGCCGAGAGTGAGGACAGCAAGGTACCCCAGAAGTCCTACAGCTCCAGCGAGACCCTGAAGGCTTATGATCAAGACTCCAGGTTGACCTACAGCAATCGGGTCAAAGACATGGTGCACCAAGAAGCTGATGAATTCTGCCGAGCAGGTGAGTACATTTCAGCAGATGCTGCTGCAATCAGTGTAAGTTAATCAGCTGAAGCTACCTTTGAAGAAAACTCTGAGGCCAAAGGCAAGATATAAGGAAAAAGAGAAGCAAGGCATATCTTCATTGTCTTGCACAGATGGGGGATGTGTGCAGACCAGTCTCCTTAAGTGGGATACCACTAGCCTGTGTTCATTAGTATCTACTGAGACACATTATCTGTCTTAGTCTTTGTGCCTTGAAAGGCTCTTTGCCACTTCCCGCCATGAGACCAGATCCCCTGTCCACATGCTGCACAGCCCTGACATGGCATGGAAAGTCCCTGCCTGCTCAAGAGACCTTTTCACTACGCTATGTGCCTGCTCTGTCTTGAAGGAAGTCAATGAGAATGCAAAGACAGAAGACAACCAGGGGTGAGTGCCACTGTCCACAGTGTCCACCTGGGCTACAGCAAAACCCAAGAAGCCTGGAAGAAGGAAGGCAACTGAGCTGCAGATGGGATGAACCACCCTTGGCATTGTAAATGGCCTATGGGTTGGAGGTTTGAGATGGAAACATCCGATATTAGAGGAGTGGTAAAGAACCACTTTGAGGACTTATAGGAGTCCATTTAGTGAATCTGGGTAATAGTAGCTACGAAGATGTGGAGGTTTAAGGGTCAGCATGGGCTCCACAGTCCTAATAGACATTCCAGATATTCTCCTTTTTATTGCTAGCCTGAAGTCAGTGCAGTTACATTTTCACAGCTGCTGTTGCCTACCTGAGGTAGATTTCTGTCCCCTGCTATAGTCTCATCTTCATTTTTCTGTAGAGACATGAGTGTCTTGGTTCAGAAACCAAGAAGGGCCTCACATAAATTATTTTTAGAAGTCTATTAAGAAAAGCATAAAATGGCAAAGTGAGTCAAATGGAGTAGGCAGCATTCCAGACAATGAGCATAAAATAGCTGACCCAGTCTGCTCTGAGCACATCCTCTGCAGTTTGGAGAAGTTGGTTTCCCAAAGGGAATGCCTATAAATGCACTAGTTTAACTGGGGGGCTGCTTAATTTCACTCTTCAAACACCACACACTTGTGGCTTTGATGCAAGACTCATCTTTAAAGTATGCATAAGCAAAATGACTTGCAGAACTATCTTTGTGCACGTGGCTTTGGTGTTTGTATTTCGGGATAACTGCAACAGGCAATAATTAACAAAAGTGGCAATAGGTGTTGTAACTAATACTTTATAATCGTAAAAGGAGTTTCCCTCTTAGCAACTCTGAAGTACTTCATCCTCTCTAAGGAATCTACAAAGTTATAAAGAAAAGGAAACCTTTTAGGTCATCGAGTTTGCTCACTTCGTACAATATATTCACCATGCAGGATAGATGTGAATTAGTACAGGTCAGCGGTTTTCAACCTGAGGGTCTATGAGGCCATGCAGGTCCAAGGACTTCTCCTAAGAAGCCCACAAAAGATAAATAAGAAAAGGCAGTCCATTGACAGGATGTATAAATTTGCTATACACAAGTTCATACTTCCCTAGGAAAATTTTGTTGAGAGAAATAGTAAAAACCACTGCTCTAAGCGGCTGAATTTAATTGAGAAAAAGTTAAGATTAACCATGTCAGGGCACCAGTTCTACTTCTGATATATCACCCCCAGAGTTTTCAATTTCTAGTTTTCTCCCAGTTTATCCTAAGATTCCCCAAACTGGCCTGAAGAATGTTAACAATAACCCCAGACTTTTTGTGCCACATTTTCCACTGGCAGAAAGCCATGAACGGACCTCACTTTGTGGTGCTGCTTGGCCTCATTCCAACTGAAACCAAGTCTTATTAGCCTGCTTGACATCAACAAGGCAAAGTGAATTTCTCTCCTGCATTGGTTTGGAAGGCAGAGGAGGGAAACATTTCAAATTGACCAAATAAATTCAGTAAATAAACAAGTCAGCATTTAAATGGTTTTAGCTAGAGTGAGAGTGCCAGCAAACGTGCAAGTCAGCACAGGAAAAAATAGACCAGATCTGAATTAAAAAGTCTCAGATATTTATTATCTTCCTTTTATTGACTTGAGTTCTTCTAGCTTAAAAGGCAACCGTGAGCATAGAATATGAAAATCAATGCATCTCCTGCTGTTTATTGCAAATAAATTTGATTTTCAGTTAATTGTAGAAGTCATTTTTCATAATTTATGAGGTGCTGTTACTGGAGAGTATCAGTCACACTGCACACTGATGTGTCTGATGATGTTGAGTGTGGCTTGTTTCAGGGGAAGGTGGAGCTTGTTTGCTTGACTCAAACATGCAAGCAAAGCTAAAAGGTGACGTTTTCCAGTACTCCTTGGAGGGTAGTTTAAAAATTATCCTGGCCTTGCACAGAAGTCAAAGCTGGAAAAGAAGAGCCATGTCTCTGGGGAGATACTGCTTCCTTGTGTTTATAACTTAGGTCAAGTTCATTTGCTACCTCATGCCACGGAGTGGTAGAGGATGCTCTCTCAGACCACTTTGCAATCAAGTTAAATGGTTTAATTTGCCACAAGCTTGCACCAAGGCCCTAGGGTTTGAGAGAGATGTGAGCTCCAAGCAACCTTATCTGTCCACTCTGTCTGAAAGCTTTAATCTTGCTTGGTCAATTAAAAAGGTGTGAAGTTCATGAATGCTTTATATAGTTTGAGTGTTATCACCTGTAGATCTGTAATGAGCTGAACCATGGTTATTTTCTCCTGATGTCAAACATCTCCTTCTCTGAACTTTAAGTGGAAATGTTGTCCAGTCCCATCTCTCATCCTGCAATCAAACATCTTCTCTCTGTTCATTATGAGCTACAAAGTCAACTAAATCATAGGATCATAGAACTTATTGGGTTGGAAGGGACCTGTAAAGCTCATCCAGTCCAACCCCTGCAGTGAGCAGGGACAATGTTCCCAGATCAGGTTGCTCAGAGCCCCAGCAAGACTGACCTTGAATATCTCCAGGGATGAGGCCTCCACCACTTCTCTGGACAACCTGTGCCACTGATCTACCACCCTCATATTGAAGAACTTTTTCCTAATATCCAACCTAAATCTACCCTTTTCTAGTTTAACACCATTACCCCTCGTCCTATCACTACATGCCTTAGTGAACAGCTCCTGGATTTCTTATAGGCTCCTTTCAGGTCCTGGAAAGTCGCTCTAAGGTCCCCCCAGAGCCTTCTCTTCTCCAGGCTGAACAACCCCAACTCTCTCAGTCTACCTTCGCAGGAAAGGTGCTCCAGCCCTTTGATCATCTTTGTGGCCCTCCTCTGGACCCGCTTCAGCACTTCAATGTCCTTTCTGTGTTGGGGACTCCAAAGCTGGATGCAGCACTGCAGGTGAGGTCTCACCAGAGCAGAGCAGAGGGGCAGAATCACCTCCCTCGCTCTGCTGGCCACACTTCTTGTGATGCAGCCCAGGATGTGGTTGGCCTTGGAATGCAGGAGCGTAGTAAAATAGCACCTACTTGGAGCCAGCTGATCATTCACTACATATGTGCTATGATATGAGACCTTCCCCGTGCAGCAGGGCTCAAGGACAAGCCAGGGTGTTTCCATAAGCATGAAACCAGACTCTGGAAAAGTAGAAATCTGATTGTTTCTATTGGATTCACATTTTTCCAGTGTGTGACATTTAACATCAACAAATGGAAATGTGAGGAGAGCCACATGCTTGTGTGGTTTTGAGCAGGGGGAGAATCATAACTCAGCTTTGGATACAACCTTGAGGTCCAGACTGAATGAACAGATTTCAGTAATGAGTGTATATGAACTTCACTGTTCAAAGGTAGGTTTGGGCCTGAACTTTCCTGGAGGTTATGCATTCAGATTTATCTTGTCAAAATACGTCTGAGCAGCAAACACTTCTCTAAAAGTGAGTCAGTGGCCTGTGCATAGATTTGGCAGGTTTTGCCTCTCTTTTCATTGCAGGGGATTTACATACTGAAGTAAGAGGAAGAAGCTAGCTAGACCGAATTTGATCACCAATGGTGGTACTTGGCCATGATCCAGGGCCTGGTGCCTCCTACTGGTTATAGATAAAGTTCCTTAATCCATCCAATCAAGGCGTAGCATAACAGGAGCAGGGGTGCATTGTGCCGTATATAATGCACGGTGTGGCTAAAGGCATTCACGGGTGGCCAAAATCTTTTAAAGACATTCAGGGCTGAAAATTAAAAGCATGCATTAATAAATAAATGTGGATTAAAATGGAGCCACTAATTGCTCTCCCCAGCCTCCTTGTTCAAATTTCCAGACAAAGCGTGCTAATATTTGAAGCCTCATTCACATCGTTTTGGTCTGATTTTGAAGCTCTGCAGGTAACTAGACATGAACTCAGGAGTCATTTTTCAGGCTGTATTTTTAGTCAGCTAAACAATTGCATTTATTTGCAGCCAAATATCCTCTGCTGTGTCTGTATGAGAATGAATAGCTAAACTGAGTCAAGGTGTGAGTGGTCAGTAAGGGGAAAGTGAGATCGCCAAAGGAAATTTAAATCCCCAGTATGTAATTTGAGGGATTTCAAAGAGCAGAACTCACTCAAATTTCTTATTGCAGTAGAGTTGCCAGGTGTATGGTAGGACTCTTGATCATTGCATGCCTCATTTTGCTTTTCTCACAAGATTTTTTTTTTGCCTCCCCTAAAGAATTCCACTATTTCTCTATCTGTATTTGCTTCTAAATTTGATTATTTCATTGTACATGCCCTGAGTTTTTGTCAGGTTCCAGAAGCAGGAATCCAGCTGCTTTTTGGTCTTGGCATGGTACTCGGTCTCCCACTAACTTGGTCTCCCAGATAACCTCCCACTTATGACGAGCGGCTGAGGGACCTGGGGTTGTTTATTCTGGAGAAAAGGAGGCTGAGGGGAGACCTTGTTGCCCTTTGCAACTACCTGAAAGGAGGGTCTAGCAAGGTCTCTTCTCCCTCGTAGCTAGTGATAGGACAAGGGGTAATGACCTCAAGTTGTGCCAGGGGAGGTTTAGGTTGGATATTAGGAGGAATCTCTTAACTAAAAGGGCTGTCAAGCACTGGAACACGCAGCTGAGAGAGAGGGTTGAGTCACCATCCCTGGAGATGTTTAAAAGATGAGTAGATATTGTGCTTAGGGACATGGTCTAGGGGCTTGATTGATAGTTGAACTTGATGTTCTTAAAGGTCTTTTCCAACCAAAACTGTTCTATGATTCCATGATTCTATAACCAAGACCACAAACCAGGATTTTTTAGCATGACATTAGGACCTGGGAATTGCTGTGACACACTTGAAGACAGAGGATGAATGTTTCTGCCATTGACTTGTGCTAGATGAAACCATCCCCTACCAAAGAGTAACCTCACTGCTGTGTTTTCTCCCAGGAGCCAACTTCTCCTTGCGAGAGCTGGGTCTTGAAGATGTGACGCCCACACATGGGACTTTGTACCGGACTGATATCGGGCTGCCTCACTGCGGCTACTCCATCAGCGCCGGCTCGGATGCCGATACGGAGGCAGACGTGGTCATGTCACCCGAGCACCCTGTGAGGCTCTGGGGACGCAACACCAAGTCTGGACGCAGCTCCTGCTTGTCGAGCAGGGCCAACTCCAACCTCACCCTCACCGACACGGAGCACGAGAACACCGAAACTGGTAAGTGGTGACAGCACGTGCGCTGTCAGCCTCCATCTCTGCC